AGACTTTCGTGGATATACGTTAACGCGTGACTCGGAGATACGAACAATTTGGAGCATCGAAGGTTCGCTGTAATTTACAGCAGATACTTATCGATCGTGTTGCTTCTTCGTTAAAACGGACGTACTGGAATTTCTCGAGCGCGTGATCTTTTGCCTAGAATTTTATCCGAGTGCTATTATCGAATGGCGAATTTTTACCTTGAATTCTCAGGCTGTTAGATTACAATTGCAACCGATCGCGAGTAAATAATTGTTTCTCGAGACGTAAAGAAGAAATCGACGATACATTATCCCTTAGGAAAGATTATATTTGAAATATTCTTATCTCGTTTCAAGTCGTATATTCGATATTACGATAATCTCCGATCAATCATATCCGAAACAAACCAGTATCCTAATATTCACCAGGCGTAACTGACGAAACAACGAAAAAGAAAAGAAGACGAAACGATTAACTTGCAGTGAAATTACTTCGATTCTTCGTCTTTAATTTAACGTTCGTTATTAGTGCACCCCTGACATTCATTTCGTGCATACAAATCGTATGGTTAAAAGAGAGAAAAACACAGAGATACTTGCAGCTAGGCGATATATATCTTTGAATACGTTGAATACGTTCTAACGGCATGATAAATCCACCGTTACTCTCCAAAAGAAGTTATATATCTTTTGTATCGTCGTTTTTGCCAGGACGCAGGGCATTGCGCAACATTCATACTTATTATAGTCGGTTCAGCGATCCGAGTGGCATTCGAAAGTTTAGCGACTTCTCCGAATATGACTCAAATACTGGCTGTACCCGTTTCGTTGCTCGTTCGGTCGTTTCGTTTAACGAATTCACCGACGATGTTCGACGATAAATTAATATTAAACAGCCGATGTGTTCGCGACGTGATTTTCGTCAGCGCGTCGCTTGATTATTGCAAATCCAGGGAACTATCGTGCAAATGTTTGGATAGTGTGATTAAGTTAAGTTGACAGTTAGTTTACATGGAATGTCGAAGAGAGATGATTCGAGAATCTTGAGATTTAAAACGTCGAAGACACGAGACGAAGGTTAATTGACGTAGATTTATAAATTCCTCTCTTAACATCGATTTTCATTACGAAATCATTTTTATCGATACTCCGTTACGATGGCAATGTAGCAATCGACGTTTTCAAGAAGCTTATGCGATCGAACAAAAGTGTAACGCAGATCTTGCATTCGACGAAGATGAAACGGAATGAAACCACGGTAGAAGTTTCCAATGGAGCGTAATATATTCATAAAAGGTATCTACAGATGTTCGAATACCTTCGTGAGCCGCTATTGCGCGTTTCATTGAAAAATAGTTGTTGAGATCGAGATAGGAAAATTTATCCTGGAAACAATAAATAGAACGCATCTTTCGCTAAGTCTTTTTGCGTTTGAAGAACAAGTATACATATGACAAAACACTTTATAGGATAATTGTAAATATCAAAAGGATACGAGCAAAATTATAGTCTTATAGACGTGCGTTTATAGAGATTGCACTATATCCACTTTTTCCCTAGAAACATATTTCAAGTATAAAGATTATATTACAATGATATGCACACACATAGATGAGAACGATTTTCGTGTAGATATCGGTGTATAAGGTTGCCAGGAAACAGAATCAGCTAGCTAAATAGAATTCATTACCCGACATTGTTTAATTAACAATACTCTAGAGAGCAACGGTAACGTAGAAATAAATCGAACTAGAATATCCGTTTATTTGTATCGTTTTACCGTGTTTGTGTTGCCAGTCCCCTAAAGCGATGTCCAGCGTTTTACGATAGACTCTGCATTTATGCGAATGCGAGGAAAGCAAAACGTGGCACTGCCAATACATATGAAAAAGATCGATCGAACAACGCCACTGGCCTGTTTCGGCAACGTATCGAAAAGCAATTTGTATACGGCGCTCAAGCCGAGTACTTTAAAATATTACACCGGTTTACGGTTGTTTCGACGCGAAGGTGTGAGTATTTCTCTTCGAAATCGGCAGTTTCCTGGCACACGGTAACCGTATTCCAAACGTACGAAAGGTCCAACTTTATTAATTAAACGGTAACAGATTGGTTCTGTTCTCGGTGCCTCGATGATCACACAGTTGAGATAGTTAAATGGATTTCGTTTAAAATTCAACGTGACAAACAGACTGCGGATATTTCTGTAAATTTATGGTATTACAAACCTAACTATTTTCCCCGTTTTTTTTTTTTTTTTTTTTTTTTTTTTTTTTTTTTTTTTTTTATAGGTTTTAACGTCACGCTAAACGCGTCTATGTGGTTATTAGCGATTTTGCTAAATAACGATACGTCTGCCAGAAAGGAGAGAAAGTTTGATCTCTATCGCGGAGATTTTCATTGAATGTTCCTTTGAAATTGGTATTTGCTTTGTCCCAAATATCGCGAAATAAATAAATATTTTGGGTATAGAGTAGTTTCCAATTAATAGATCCCTAACGATTGGACCGATATCGCGATGAATGCTACGTCGAATATTTCATAATCCTTGTGCATCGTGCGCACTCTGTGTATTTCTGCGCCTCTAAGCGTCCCATAAATGCACGAACATTCGCGATCTATCAACGATTTGCCACATTTATTTAATTCTCCGTAAGCATCCAAACACCTACGAACTCGGATTGTGCTTAACATATTTAAGGAGACAACGTCGATTTGATTTATGATCTGCATAGTAAAACGTGAATGCGACGCATGAGTACATAGATATACAAACCACTCAAAGCTGTTTAATGCCGTAGATACTGTTTGAAATCTAAACAGGTATATCCTAATGAATTCCAAACACATTGTAATTAAGATCTGCAATTTCTCCGGCAAAATTCACGCACGTTTTCAGTGATAATCGTTATGTACAAAGAAAACTTTCGCAGTCTTCGCGAAAACTTGCTGAAAGGTGTTTAAGCGCGAACACAAAGGAAACAAAGTGGAAGCTTTCTTAATTCCTAAATGCTTTCCGCAAACTGGTATTACGTGGAGTGTACGAGCACGCAATTTAGGATGGCTGTGCATGTTCCTAATTTTGGGGAAGCCGTTGCCACAAGTCCTAAAACCCATTACTGATCAGATCTGTTCGAATCCGGTGTACACGAGTTTACAATGTGCTGATGAAAATCCGAGATCTAATTAAAATTTCAGATCCTCTAAGCTGGAATTAGATAGCACGTAATAATACACACAGATATAATACAGGTATAAGAATTTGTAAGGTTAAAAATAACAGTGACGCGTAATTCGTACGCAGACGTATTTCTACGTTGACCGAATGTTCGCGTTCTTGTTTATTAATAACATTAATTATCGAGGCAATAAAATTTGCACGTATGAAAACGAAGGATCGAAATGACCATAGAACGCTGAGACTAATGGAACGCCGGTATCTTTTCTCGCAATTAACGAGTGCAATTTACGTTTACCTATCGATAAAAAGAATGGAGAAAAATGGTTTTAATTAGATACATTCGGACTGGTTGTACGTATAATTTGTCTTATTAACATCATTAGGTTTCGCAAAAAAGATTTTAATTATCGCTGTTTTTTATTTCCTATTTGTTCGATGCAACGTTCGACGTATGCAAATATTTCGAAAGTAAATTCTTGTGATCGATAAGACAAGTTAAAGTAGCAAACGGGAAAGAAGATATATCGCATGCAACAATTAAGGAAAATAGGAAATATAGCATAAATTAAGTTTTTCACGGATGTCGTCGACAACATTTGCAAATCCAATTTGCAACGTTTGTTTGTCGCAATTTTACCATGCTAATTTGCGCATATGTCGTTCCCACTCTGCGAAAACTAAACAAGAACTATTTTGCGTAGCCTGCGCTGTCTCGTATCATCGTCCTGTCTCATACACAATTTACCCAATTACGTTAATCGATGATAACGAATGTTGACACTATTACCCTGATGATGTATCGCAAGCTACAGTCATTTACTAATAATAATAATCCAATGTAATCATACTATCGACGATGACCGTATTTTCCTGGATAGAACAACAACGAGCAACTATTATTCGCTATTTGCTCTTTAAGAAGTCGGATAACGATTCGATCACCGTGCTTTCGAATTCTATCCATATAATTATCATGCGCGTGTCTCGTTACAGTACTGATAAACGAACAAACAGTAATTAATATTTCACAGATATTATATTATACAGGGTGGTTGGTAACTGGCGGTACAAGCGGAAAGAGGGTGATTCTACGCGAAAAAAGAAGTCTAAAATATAGAATAAAAATGTTTCGTTCGAGGCTTTGTTTTCGAGAAAATCGACTTTGAATTTTCGTTGGGTATGCGTGCACTTTATCGCGTCTCGTTATAACGGATCTCACTGTAGATCGTTGTTTCGATGGAAAAATAAAAAAAAAGATTTTTATTCTATATTTTCGACTTCTTTTTTTGCGT